TATATAGAGCTTTGTTATTAAGTTAGAAAGAAAAATAAAATATATTTTTTGTTGGAACTGTATGCCAAAAAAAATTTGTTCTTTAACTAACTTGTGAATGATTGGCTAGAGAAACAGATTACTTGATACTTCATTGCGAATACTGTGTACCGGCAGAATATGATCAAAAATGGATTAAGAAAAGTTAGTCGTGGGTATGCTTCATAGTTCAAGAAATATTATTTATAATGAAGAAAACAGAAAAATACATTTATGTACATCATAAAAAAAATGCATGAACTACTAAAGAAAGTAGAAACATGGAAAAAGGTACAAAAAAGCAGCTTGTAGAATAGAAACAGTAAAAATAACACGTAATTATTGAGATTGAATAACAACATAGTATATACATCGTATACATAAACACAAAAGCAAAAAGAATGGATAATCTTCTATCTTATTATTTACAAAAAAAAACACATAAAATAGATACAAGTTTAGGAAAGCATGCGCAAAAATTTTTAAGTCTAAACGTGAAAAACGGAACTGCCATAGCTGTTATTTACCCCAGAGCGCTTTATTTTTGCTTGTCCATGAATTAGCGACACTTAAGAAATCAACTGTTACTGATGGTTGCTGAATAGTAGTTAACTGAACTGTTGGAAACGAATTTTTCTTACGCCGATATACGAGAACAATTACAATAACTACTAATACTAAGAACGCAACGCCTGCAAAAACTAAAGATGTTGTACCGATTCGGGAACTTAAATGTAGTTTTCCGAAATTCTGTTTATTTTGATTGATCTGCTGCTGCTGCTGCTCATATGCCTGCTGCTCTAAAGATGCTACTAAATCTTTATCGCCAGCAAATGGATACAATTTTGGTAACGTGACATTTATATGTCTTAGTTTCTGCTTCACATGGACAAGATCATTATCAACAGTTTGCAAGATATATCGACTTACTGTTTGACAACGATTATCCCCGTGAACTGTCATATTATTTTCACATTTTAATTCTTCTTTACATTCAAGATTTAAAATACTTAGACCC